TAAAATTTAAGTTTTAATAAAGTTCCAACACGACGGGTATACCTATTTTCACTCTTGTTTGTAGACTTCTAATTTTAGAGCATCTTTAATGTTGTTTGAGCCCCATTTTTGTAAGATAATGTTTTTTTTGGAATAGTTATTTTTTTGGAGAATGTTTCATTAAAAAATAAGAAAAAATTTCGATTTACATGTAAAATTATTTTATGGAAAAATATGTGGTTGAAAATGAATTTTTTAGAAAGAATAATATTATTTGTACATAAGCTTTTACATATATATGAGGTATTAAAAAGAGAGTAGAGAATAATGCTACTTTTACATCAGCTTTTACAAATGTATGAGCTCCATTTTTGTAAGATAATAAATTTTGGAATAGTGATTTTTTAGAGAATATCTAATTAAAAAAATAAGAAAAAAATTTCGACTTATATGTAAAATTATTTTATGGAAGAATGTGTAGTTGAAAATAGATTTTAAAAAAATTGAGTTTTTGAAAAAGAATAAAAAATGAAACTTTTACAACTATTACCCTTACTTTTACATATGTATGAGGTGTCAAACCATCCCCACACTATTACCCTTACTTTTAATTTAAAAAAATGAAATAAAAAATAACAGAAAAAACGTAAAAATTTCTAATTCGTCCCGTCTCTCATCCATCCCATACCAAGTAGTGCTAATGTTTTTGCAGTCGCCATTGCTGTAACCACCACCAATGTTTTGAAATATCAAAATATATGAATAATGCTATTTGTATATAATGATTTACCTATAAGACAGTGGTGAAATTTTTTCGTTTATTACTATTTGGTTAGAAAAATTCTGACACAATTATATCTCATCACGACATGTATATATAAATCATTATGTATATGTAACACAACCGTCTTCACATTATTTTTCCGTCACTAACTTCTATTTTATCATAAAGTATAAAATTGTTCCACAAATTCATTCAATTTTATAAAAGATAAAGAAATACCAATAAATCAATTCACACCAACCAACCGGCAGAAGTAATCAACATTAGAATCCAACAAAAAATCAACCTAAATACGTAAACATATACGAATACTAACCAGTATAGTATACAGAAATGTGGTTCTTTGTTGAATCCATAAATCGATTCAGACTAAAAGAAAACATCTGTGTCATAGATTGTAATAAAATAGCAGTAGTGAGAGTGGGACCTGTCTCAATATCAATAAGTACTATCGTTACAGCTTGCCCCAAACCCCACCTCCACTTTCTTCAGTGTCATATTCTACATAACACAGGAATTCTGGTTTCCCACAACTGTGCTCAAAGTCAAATGTGCCAAACTTGAGCCTTTTTGCCAGTTGAAGAAGAAAATTAAAGGGCGAGATTATGTCCGATAGTAAGCCAGCGTTTCTAAGCGATGAATTATCAAAACGGACCTCAATTTTCGGTTTACGTTTGTGGGTTATTGTTGGAATTTGCGTTGGTGCTGCAATTGTCATTTTTCTCTTTCTCATCTCTCTGTGGATCACCTCAAGGCGCAACAGCAACAAGAAAACGTTGTTATTGACCCACAAAAATTCCAACATCCCAAAAGTCTCCAGAGAAATCCAAGAAATTCGGGTCGACCCTTCCCGGAACCCGGAAACCAACCCCAAGCTGCTCCTTCCTGCCCCGGGACCCAAATTGCAGCTTCCTGAACCAGGCCCAGTCGAGGACCAGAAAATCCATGTTGAGATTGGCAAGGGTCACCGGATTGCTTGCCCGGAAAAGGTCGGGCAGGGCTCTGGATCAGGCCATGGGAGTGGGGAGGCCCGACCCCTTGCAGAATCTGGGGCTGGAATGGCTGTGCCGGAGGTTTCTCATTTGGGATGGGGTCATTGGTACACTCTGAGGGAGCTTGAAGAGGCCACTGATGGATTTGCTAATGACAATGTGATTGGTGAAGGTGGCTATGGGATTGTTTATCATGGTCTCATGGAGGATAAAACTAGAGTTGCTGTCAAAAATTTGCTCAATAACAGGTAATGTACTTCAAATTTATGCATATTGGTAAAGTTCATTCAAATATTACAAGGAGAGACAAGTTATTTACTATGGTTGTGGTGAATTATGATGATAATTGGCTAACTTTCGATGCCTAGGTTGACTTTAATGCGTTTTCTTGAACTGCAGTTGGACAATTGGACGTTGATTGTTTAGGCTTTATACCCAAATGAGAAATGGTTAATGTGGGTTGTTGTTGTTTTGTTGTTTGTAAGTTAAACTCTGTTCTTTATGTTCAGAGGTCAAGCTGAGAGAGAATTTAAGGTTGAAGTTGAAGCAATTG